AAACCATTTAAGTGGAGCTTGTGCATGGAGCCTTTGCACACAGCAGACCCTGCAGTGGTGATTCCCTCACATGACCTGCAGAGAAACCTCGGGGCATTTGACCTTTCTCTTAGCAATTTCCTCCAGATCCCAAACTGCTTGTACACGTTTTGTGCTTGTTGGAGTTTTGGTCTCTTTGATCAGCCCAAGTGGAAAGGTCTCTCATTTTTATTCACAAGACTGAGGCCTCCTGCACTGGTTAATTGACTGTTCTCAAAAACTGCTGCAAAGGTCATTATTTATTCATCAGGGACATGTCCCACTTCTCCATGAATATGCCTACCTGTGTTTGTGCAGTTGTAAGCACTGGTGCCCCCATATTTCAGTACAAGTGACTCAAGGGATCAGTGCATGCAGACCACAGCAAAGCTGTGCAACAAAGACTGATTATTGCAGATCATTAAAAACAGTAAATGGGCCTTAGAGGCAGTATCAATGTTAAATTGCAGTCTTGGGACTTTAAGTAGATGTGGGTGACTCATGAAGTTAATTTCCTTATCATTGCAGGATTTGTTTCACTGTTGCTAACTTTTCCTGAAGGAGTAGATTGGGTAGGAGTCAGCTCCATATTTGACACCTCCTAAACTAAGTGACTACACACTCTACATCTATGAACTCCTACTACCATGGACTGAGATCTAGTCAAAACAGGCAACAGAACCCAAAGAGACCCACAGTGACACCACAGGAGTAATTTACTCAGCTGAGTATCACTCCAGATTCATTGGATTATATGGAAGTTTGGGCATAACTACCTTAGAGTCACAAAAATCAGGTGTCTGAATGCAGACCTGAATTCTACCATCAATTTGTTACATTTAGTGATTTCTGTTGGCTTTTTTCTTTACCATAGTTATTCTTCATGTTAAAGGTACTTTTCAAATTTATTTACTCTAAACTCTATCTGCTCCATCTTAAAGACTGTGGTTGATTCATGTTATTAGAATAGTTCACCAGCTCTTTTCTAGCATTCCTTTGTTGCTATTTTCTTTCTTCTATGTCTTTTCTCTTGAGCAAATATATCTCTGCTCCTTTTCAAACCACTCATCACTGCTGCTTTGAATTGTCTCCACTTAGCCCACTGCTCACCTAGTAACCTTTCGAAAGATTTGGGTGATGGAGTTTCCTTCACCCTAAAGTTCACAACATTTTATTAGGGTTTTCTCTGTAAGAGAAGGAAATGTTTCTCATGTGTTACCCTCCAGATCTGAAAATGCCTTCCAAGAGAGACTGACTAGAAATGTAAGGACCTGTGATCATGTAAATAGTAAGGTACAGAGGACAATAAAAGATTGACATTTTTCTTTTGCCTAGGATTAGCTACTGCTTTCTTGTACATGACCTGCACACCTTTGCGCTGTTCTTCTGTGCCACAGTATCTAAATCTGTGAAATAGGAGCAATAGTATTTAAGTATCTTGAAGGGGAGTCATGTGGCAAGGATCTTTATATCAAGGGAAGAGTGATATGACACTCATTCTTGAATAACTGAAAATCTTTCTTAACTGTTGGACTGAAGAAAAGTGACGTGAAAGACCTCTGAAAAAGGACATATTTTGGTCCAGAGAACACTAGAATCAGCTGTAGGAAAAGAAAGAATGGAAATTATCTATACTAGAGCCCAGTTTGGAGAAGAAGCCTGGTTCAGCATCCCCACCATCTTGTCAGTGTGGTGTGAGGTAAGAGTAGCTGGGCATAGCAAGGGACAGCTGATGCCCACAGAGCGCAAAAAAATTTCTGTCATTTGAATGTTTCAGTTCCAGAGAATTTGAATGTTTCAGTTCCAGAGAATTGATGGTAACTGAAGTTCCTCAAAAAGTATCTATAGATACACACTTAAATGCTGTTTTTCTTGAAGTGCCCTTCCTTAGCACAACATACATCATGCAGAATAGTGACATGAGCTGTTCATGAACCTTCAGTTGTGATTCTGACAAAGGCTCATCAAACCCTTCAGTATTAATGGAGGAGGGCTGCTACAGAGACAAAGTAATTAACCTCAGTTTTACGGGTCATTGCCAGATCTTATGTGCAGACAAGAACATTTAACTCACCTTAATGAGTAGCATGAAGGTTAAGATATCAAATGTTCTAGGCACATTTTTCTTGGCTTAGTGAACATGTGCCAAGCCAACTATGTTTTATTTTAAATAAACTTTCTAGAGGCAATCTCAATACCCCCTTAGGTAAGTACAAATAAGGAATGTAAGATTTTACTTTTGGGAAAGAAAAGTACATTCTCTATTTAAGTCATATATGTATGAAGGAACTGATTTTTTTTTTTAATGTTCACTTATCATAGAGTGCATAAATAGTTCAATAACAACCAGGATTTCTGTTTATTTTCTTTTGTTTTTAATCTCCTTTTTTAAAAAAATTTGTCTTCCAGTTTGTCATCCTTCATGGATAAGCTAGGAAATAACATGTTTCTTTTTACTGTGAAAAAATTTAGTATTATTCTGAACACATCTTCGCAAGAAGTCATTGGACACTTTATTAATACGACTTCTGAAATATTGATCTGATTTGTTCAGAAGGTGGTTTTATTTTTTGGTCATATTGAGCGATGTATCTTGATAGTGAAGGAATAAGAAAATCTAAGTGCCTTCTATCACAGGAAGCTCAAGGACACAGAATTTTAAAAATATTTCTGGCTCCTAGACTATCAATCAGCAGCCCTTTGCAAACATGCCATCTTAAGAAACCATGGGACATTTGCTTGTGTAATATTTAGCTGCGGGCTAAATATTCCTGTGAAACCTGGTTTGCAGGGGTATGAAGGACCTCCTAAGGGACTGGTTTGCTTCTTGCTATCACAAGCATCACATCCAGTGTTTACACATCAGAAGAATGAAGGATAGCAGAATTCCCAGGTGGAAAGGGTGGAAGAAAGCCAAAACAAAGCAGATGTGCTAAAATTAGAACCATCCTGTATGGGGAAACAGAAAGTCTGAGCTTGGCTATTTCCCAAAATAAAGGAGGATCTCGCTGCATTATAGTTCACAGCCTACCCTATATCAGCCAACACTCACGTAATTTTTTGTCTCTTCCTCACAAAGGCAAGTCTTGATTTAGCAAAGGTTTGTTGAATAGGTGGATAAATTGAATATTAGGAGATTTTCAGTTCTCTCATATTCTGTCCGCATGTTATGCAGGAAGGAGTGCCTTTTTGGAGGGGGGTTTAACACTCCAGTGCTCCACTGGTGAAACACTCCAGTGCTCCAGTGCAGCTTTTGGCAGATTTTGTTCTCCCCTGTTAAACAAACAAACAGTTCACCTCAGCTGGTGCTGCCATCCAGACAAATGGAGGTGTTTACCCACAACGTGTTCCCATCAGAGCTGAAGATTGTTTACTAACTGCTGACAAAAACTGCTCAGAGTGAGAATTCTTCATGATCTACACTGTGAAATTGTAAGTTAGCAGTGATATCACTTCCTATGAAAGCTAGGAAGGGATTCCTTCATTTATTTAGATGTTTCATCTATGGCAGCATTTCATCCATATGACATTGAATCCTGCTGGCATAAAATAATTATTTTCATGATTGGTTTCCTTGTCTTTCTCATTCCACCCATCATTCCTCTTTGTTTTTTCTTGTTTTCGCTGAACAAATTTTCATTCTTGAGAAGAGACATAGCACACAGCCTGTATACTATGAGGTTATTTTACATCCTCCTGATATCAAGTTGCCTCAAAACAAATTCAGCATCTGTTTCTTTGACAGAAAAGGCTGGAGGAGAGGAGAGGAGAGGAGAGGAGAGGAGAGGACTTTATTCATCTGTGTGTTCTGTAGTCTACATATGTGCTTGATTTGGAAGTTAGTATCTGGTTTTCCCTAGACATATCCTATTTTCCAAAATGTTGTTTGAAATTTGGTTATAAATACATTACATACATGGTAGTAACATTAACTTCTTTAGTTCAATAACAATTCAGTATTTGAAATCCTGTAATACAAAAGAAAAGTAAAAAATTGTACCTTTGGTTCAGAGTGATTGGGAGTGATAAATTCCAATACTGAACAAAGATTTCTAATCTGAAAAAAAAGGGAGACTGAGGGCAAGAGGACACAATAACAGTATTTTGATACAGAAGGATTATTACAGAGAAAGCAGCAGTCAATAATTATCCATGTCCAATTTGAAAGGATAAAAAGAAGTTTTAATTTGCAGAGAAACAGATTTGGGTTGGATACTTGCAAAAATCTGTCAAAGCTGTTAAATTGATGAGCCACTGAAGTCAGTCTAAAATCTCTCTGGGGATGATCTAGGGCTTTCATGAAAGAACTTGATTACTTTTTGAGGGCTTGCCTGGCTATACTAAGATGTGGTTAGTTAGAACACAGTGCTAATAACCACGATTCCAGGTCCAATCCCCATATAGCCCAGTCACTTAAGATCCTTGGGGGTTCCTTCCAACTGAGAATATTTGGTGAAATTCTGTGAAAATTCTGGGGTTAAGTATATTATGACAGGGCTGGAAACAGCACTTGTGTGGATATGTATATATCTTTATACACTAATGCTAGAAGTATATGTGCACTAGTATGCACTGATACACTGTGTTTGCACACTAATAATAAACTAATATACATGGATACTCTACTAGTATGCATTATAAATAAACATGTGTGTATATATATAAACATATGTCTCAAATATTTACTCTTCCTGAGTGTTCTTGAAACACAGACAAACTTAATTAGAAACGTTGGATATGTTATCCAGTCTTCCTAGTCAAGAGAACTGGTTTGAATGAGCATGTGAGCTCATTTTATTCTTTCTTACCTAAACCAGAGGTATCCTGGACTCTGGACTCAGGCTGATAAAGTGATTTATCACAAATGGCCTGAGCTAGAATTTTTAGACAGGAGGGTCATGTCTTAACCAGTTGTCCAGATCCTCAAGCAGGGCATTGTGAAATACCAGTTCAGACTGATACTGGTTTTCTCTTTGTTTCAGGAACGGCTGGTGCTCTCTGTGTTACCTCGGTTTGTAGTCCTGGAAATGATAAATGATATGACCAATGTAGAAGATGAACATTTGCAGCACCAGTTCCATAAGATCTACATTCATCGTTACGAGAATGTCAGGTGGGTGAAGTAGCCTTTCTGTAATATTTAAGATCTCAGACATTGCTAAATTACTCTTGTCTGAGGGTTTCCCTTCTGTTGCTTTATTCATCCATGAATCAAAAAATTAGTGTACCCTTGTTTAATATTTGAGCAGAGGAGCATTTTGACGCCGCCTTCTACTCATCAGGATGGCTGGATGCCATGGCAATGGCAAAACCCATTTGAACTAAACACTGGGTCTGGACCATTTGTGGTTTTTTCTCATTTTTTTTCACTTTTTATCACACTCAGTTCACTTAAGTGGTCAGGATTGCACTGGAAGGGGAGCCCTTCCTACATGTGGACACATATTCTGCCCCAACCTGGTGGTTCATCCCACACACTGAAAAATGAGATGAAGACTTGTAAGATGTTCTCAAAGATGGTTTTGTGGTTCCTCTGCTCTATAGCCATTTTCATTTAATCAGTCTTATGATTTTCTTAATCTTTATTCTTCTCTCTAAATTTTTTCTTTCCTGAAATAAGTTATCGGAAGGGTGATAATTATCCTGTAAGCTGCTACTCAAGGTAATTAGTCCTAATTGTACATTACACCAGAGTGATCAACTTCTACTCCATGATATTACATATTCTTGGTTTTATTGTATTTCCTGATAATCAGAATATTTTGTCAAGCCAATACCTTTTTCCATAAGCCTTTCCCAAAACAAGAGGGTAAATCATTGAGTGATCATCTTTGAAATCATCATTGAAGGAAGTGCAAAATAAGCATGGATATGATGGTAGATAAATTTCTTGGGAAGCAAGTACTTTGCCTTTCGATGAAAACAAAGTATAACTTTGTCTGGAGAAGTCCAATAAAAATAATTTGCACTTCTGCAGAAGAATAAGTTGATTATCTGCTTCTTCTGTGGCCATGCAGTAGCTCAGATATGTTATTTTATTAAATCTGATTGAAAGTTTATATCATAAAGATTTATCTTTATATCATAAAGTTTATATCATTTATCATAAAGGTTTGAGTTGCACTAAATTAAAATGTCTTCCATTAACCTTTTTCATACTCAGAGTAAGTGTTGCTGTAGAAGAATCAAAATATGGAGAAGATGGCCCTTTTGCTTTAATGGAAAAGGGTTGTAGACAGGGTGAGAAGTGGAAACATATTTTATGCTTGAAAATGATTTTAAATTAAAATTCTGTATGCTTTAAAATACAGATACTGGTTGGCTTCTATACATGCTGCCAGAAACTAGATAACTTCAAAACAAGGTTTCATTCACCTTATTTTGTTTCTTAAATGTTCAGCACTGAATACTACCTAAACCAATGCTATATGAATCCTTAAAAGTAATATCCAGTTAGAAATTTTTTTGGGTTTGAAAATTAAAGGGCTAGAAAATAGTAATTTGAACATCTTATTAGCATAAATTTAGTCTATTATTACTATTCATTACTCTTTGCATAGCTTGGTACTTTACCTTTTCATTTTATTACTTCTCACTGGTAAAAATCTCACCAAGTTTGTAAGCATTTTGTTTAAACCTCACCCAATCCTTTACCAGTCCATACATTTGAAGAAGTGTTATCAGTCAACCTGATCATTACTGTATTTCTTATTGGTTACATTAGTAATTCTCAGACACTGTCAAGTTGTGATCTTGTTCACCACAAGTCATCAGATAAAGTGAAAAAAAGCATCTGGTACTCAGTTTGTAACACCAGTAATTGCTAAACTTTCAATTGCTAACGAGGTTTGTGCCAGAATGATGAGTGTCTTTTCGAGCATCACTGCTTTATGAGGTAGCCAATACTTTCTTTGTCTAATAATTACTGAGCTACTACATGCTTTGCTCTGGGTGGTATCTTGCACACCACAGACTTCGTGTGTGTTTATGTTTCTCTGTATTCAGATGTTGTCATTCTAGGCACAGTGAGCAGCCAAAAGGCAAGAAAAATAACCAGATATTCAAACACAGGTTAGAAGTTTGTTTGCAAGTATTTTGTTAATGGAGATCCTACGACAATTTCAGGCACACAAGCTGATACACCTAAATTCAAAGTACGATCACACTAGGCGCCCTGCAAAGTCAGTAGAATGAAAAAGGAATTATTCAATTAAAGATTCATACCTTATAAAGAGAGCACTAGAGTTCTAACTCAGGTACTGCTGTCACATGCCTAAAATGAGACTAAACAAAACAGGTCTTAGCCTGGTGTATCAAGACTGTCACAGATTTGCATGATTCCTATTTTTAGCAAAACATTTTCTCACTCTTAGTAGTATTTTTTTTAGTTTCCTCAATATTTATATTTAGTACTCCAGCATGTACAAAGGTATAGAACAGAAGTAGTGTTACTTCAAGGGTGATAAAATGACCTTTCCACTGGTAAAATGCTAGAAGGTAACTTAAAACATTCAGTAATGAAAGGATGTAGACTGAAATATTAATTTATTTTTTTTTATTAGCATTCTTTTTGCAGATGTTAAAGGCTTCACCAACCTTTCCACAACTCTGTCAGCCCAGGAGCTGGTCCGAATGCTGAATGAACTCTTTGCCAGATTTGATCGACTAGCACATGTGAGTTAAACACAATTTATTTCCAAAAAAACAAAATCAATTCCATGTTTGGGAGGTTTAGAAAATACTTTCTGATCAATTTGAACAATATATATCTATATTCTCCCCACAGGGATTTTATGTAGCAATTGAGTTTGGAAGACACTGACAAAGTTATATGAAAAATGCTGAGTTCTGATAACAAGTGAAAGCAGAGGCTGTCATCAGGACATTTGGTTTCTGTAGTGCTGGACAGAGAATAGTATAAAAGTAGATCACCTATGACAGTTTCTAAGGAAGCTTCATATTTTGGATTTTTGCTGGAAATTTTTTTTAAGACCCTAGCTTAGCTTTATTTGTCTTTTCTTCTGAAAAGTGAGGAAGATTAAAAGACCTATTCATTTAAGGTCATCTAATTAGTTCTCACAGTCATTGCAGTGGTTAGTTAATAGCAGGGTTTACAGTCTTTAGGCTGGATTCTATCTAACTCAACAATGAAATTAATTAAACACAGCAGAGAAAATTATTACATCAGGAAAATTAGTTGCTCCTTAATTAGCACTGATCAGGAAAAAAAATGAAGCACAAAAATACAAGTGGAACATGCTCAGTTTTGCTAGGCTTGTATATTTATTTTTTTCATATTTCTTTGGTCAAAATACAATTTAATATGGCTATCTTTAGGTGTTAATATCTGAGCTGACTAATAGGGCTTCTATGTGGAGGCAATGAAGTACATTTCAGGGAGTTTTTCTTATCATTTATCCAGCCAAATGTGGGTACATACTATGGGAAAATGCTAATTGCACTGAATATCACAGACCATGCTATCTATCTACTATAAAGGAAACTAAAGTGGCTTGGCCTGATGTAGAGATTTGCATCCCTCACTGGCTTTTATACATTTCTGAATTAGGGTGATGGGGTATTTGTACACATATTACACTGTATCAGAGTTAGATCCTTGTGGTTTTCTCTCATCTTACACATTAAGGTCAAGAAAAGCAAGTCTTCCATAACTATTGAAATTTCTTTTGATACAATTATTTTTATCTCAAATAGTAATGTGTCTCCTCTTGTACAGAGGGGTGCCATAACCCATTGCCTGGACAGTGGCAAATTAGTAAATGCAACCTACAATATCTGCTTTGCAAACAAAAACCCCTCATCAGCTCTGGTCTACACTGGAAACCAAGCCAGGTGAAAGAATTACCTCAGTCCTGTCTTTCAGAAGGAGTAGAGGAGTAATGTCTGCTTTTGTATGGCTTGACAAAAACAGCTTTTCTAACTGAAGAAACATATTTTACACCAAATAGACTGTATGTGTGTCACAGAAATATTTTAGGAAGACTAAGTATAAAAAATTCCTTAGTGCTTTGCTTCACATTTCAATTTTGACTAGCATTCATGATAATTAATCATATTTTGTAACCATTCCATAAACTATATTTAATCAATAGTGATTTTGTGTAAAATGACTATATCCAGTAAAGGAGTTAGGAACAAGGAAGCATTTACATTTAAAAGTCTAATCCAGTGAATACTCCTTCACTTGTCACTTAACCCTGAAGTCAACTTCCTGCTTGTTTGTTTTTTATTTTATTTTATGGGAACAGGAAATTTTGCTTTTAAATGCCTAGACATTTTCCCCTTCTCTGTGGCTTGTCACACACCTTCTAGAAATCTTTCTGTTCTAAATATGCAGTTCTAAATTCATAAATCCTAACAGAGGACATTGAATATGCCATACAATAATAGGCATCCCAAAAATGTAGGTGAGTTTATTTTAAAGAAATGGCAATAAATATATCAGTCTGTTTTACCAGAAATCTCTGATTTGGGATGAAAGACCATTTGTGTCTGCAAAATGTCGTTATCAGGATGATCACCTCTCAAGTGAATGTCCCAGTCACTAAATTCAAGACCCTAGGATCTTTCATACATTTCCTTTCCTAGTCTGGGAATTTACTTCTTTTTTTAACACATCATTGATTAGACTAATCCACTGGTCTAGAATAATCCTCTGAAAGGTGGAAGAGACAGGGAAGAACCAGTGTAGAAATTGAACATATTTGGCCTGCAAAGATTAAAGTTATATGATCATGAAAAAGTAAAATTCAGTAAAAAGACATTTTGATTGCCTTCCTGATTTGTGGGTTCTGTGGCCTGGATGTCATAATACCTGTGGGATACCCTGACAATAGAGATGCCTAACATGGAGAAACCTCTCTTGCTTCCCTAGAAAGGATTTGGTGTTTCTGCCCAATTCAAGGAGACAAATCCTCCCTCTGCACTTGCAGGAAACCAAGACTCCACACTGGACTCTTATGGAGGGGACCAGCTGCATAAAATAAAAGGGTCTAAATCTTATATTGAATTTCACTTTTTCCTTTGGAAAGTTTTGGAAATGGACATTGAGTGACCCTGAATTTTAAGGACTTGTGAATTACATGGATCTATCAACTTACCCATCTGATATTGCATAAAGCTTTCACACCTGGTAAAGTTGAATCTTTGGGAAAAATTCCTGGTCTTTGTCTGAATGAACCAAGAGATGATCTTGTTTTAATGCTGGTCCATCTTGGTAGTATATTCCAGTGCCTTAACACTCTCACTGTTTATTCAGTATGGGTTTTTCCTCATTTGATTTTTTCTGACTTTGAATTACATCCTTTGATTCTTGCTATATGGAATCATTCCCAGAAAAAGGGACCATCTTGTAGCCACTGACTTCCTCTGGGAATGCATCTGGATGCTTTGATCAAGGGGCTTCTCAGGTTTCCTTTTGATAAAAGAAATAGACCAAACTCATGGCAAGGTTTTTACTCTGTAAGATTTATTCCTTCAAATAGTTTTGGGAGCTACTTTTCTAGAATACCTCCTGTTTTTGAGAATCCCTTTTAAAGCACTGAAAACAGTGCTCCTGGACTAACCTCCATGAGTGTGAAGAAGGCAGATTACCACCATTCCTGCTTATCTCTGTTTCCTTGATCACTGTCCAAATGCCATGTTTCTAAACTTACAGTGATAACACTATTGTACTGAAAAATATTATTTTGGGGTTTTCTGGTCTTACTGTCACATTGTGACCACCATGTCTGCATGGTAATTGTTTATTTTCCTGGTCTTATTCCTTTTGTAAATGTTATTAGCAATAGGTTTCTATTTCCTGTCAATCCTTGACAGGACTTTTGGGAAGTGGTCCTTTCAAGGCCTCCCTAGAAGGATCTTCCACTAAGGAGGTTTACACAATCAGATCCAGATTTCAGATCTATCACTTAACTGGTTCTTAATCAGCTTAGCTAGAGTTACCATAACCCTTTAAAATAGTCACTGTTACTCAGACTCTTGGAGTTTGCAAAGAATTACCATCAAAGCAAAGAGGCCAGTTGCAGAAAGCTTGAGGCAGTTTCTTCAGGTTTTAAGGAAAAAATGTATAAATCCTTATTTACTTCTAAATAAAAGTATTAAATTATAATCTCATATAAAGATTGTTGGATCTGCTCAAACATCTTATATAAATCATATAATATTAAAGAAGACATTTTCACAACATACTGAAAAATGTAATTTGGCTAAGTTTCTTTTTTCTCTTATTAAGCTTTATTAAGGAGTACAGAAGTAATAAGATGTCTCTGATTTTTTAATCTTCCCTAAGTTACATCAAGTTTTATGGCATACATTGATGCATATAATTAACAACAAAAAAAAATCCATAATATCTGTATCATTACCACAGAACACTCTGAACAAAAAATAGAATGCAGAATTCAGTTCAATATTTCTTCTGAGAAAAAATGTAATAATATGTTTTGTACAGCTACTTCCCATTTCTAATCACTCTGTGATATTTGTAAAAGATTTATAGTTATTAAAGAGAAAAGTGACATTTACAAAAGAAGAAAAATAAGTTGGCATAAAACAGAACTGAGAGAACATTCTCTTATATATACTTCATCTACTAAAAGGCCTAAACAGAAACTCTATTAATATTAATACTTTCCTTAGGCAGAAATTTTGAGAAGAGAAGGGAAATAAGATGACATTCAGCAAGAAACTTAAGCCTAAAAAAAGTCCTGCCTTGGTGAAGCAATAGTTATTTTTGATGTTTGTTTTTCCTCTACCTTCTCTGCAGTTCTAGATGTCAGCCAATACCATGATTTAAATTATCATATTTCTAAATTCATCTGCACTCTTTGTAGATTCAGTTTCAGATGCAACAAAGAGGAAAAGAAGCTTATTAAAGGATTTATTGGGGTTTTGTTTATATTTTTTCTAAGAAGGCAATCTTCTTCTGTAACCTTGGTTAAATTGTCTCCTGTGGTGCTGCAGACAAGCTGTCAAAAATTCCTTCTACGGTGTATTACCAATCTTGTGGCTGCTGTTTCCAGGGTTGGAAACCAACCTGACTACCAGGTTCCACAAGACCACATCACCCCAGAGCCCCAATAAAATACCTGTACCGATTGTTATCAGGAAGGGAAGACTGGAGGGTTTTGGGGGCTTTTCTGTTTCCTTGATAAAGACACTTCCATTGTAGTGCTTTACTGTCCCAGCTCTGAGCTGGCCGTGTTTTGTTCCATGGTGAAGTTGTCTTCCAGCACGTAACCCACAAGATTCCAGAGACTTCCTAAAAAACCTTGCATAAACATATATGTCAGGTGTGAATTTTTTAATATGTATATGTTTGGGGTGATGTAGCAAGAAGCAGAGTTTCTGGATTACGAGTATTAATATATTTATTTAGCTCATTATAAAGGCATTATAAGACTTTACAGTAAAGGGATGGTGTGAATTCTCTTTTTGCAGTGCTTAATTCTGTGTTTTTCCTCCCAGCCAGTGTCAATAATTAATTGGCTCATACTAATGAATAAACAACTTTGTTTACCATGTTCTCCCTGCATTTACAGTTTTTCAGATGATAAAGAGCTCATCTAAAGACCTAAACAGTCATATATGTCCCAGCCCACAAAACACTTTTGGAAGTGATAGTATACAGGTTTTTATGAAAAAAATTCAGA